TGCTCTGGGGGTAAACTTTCACAAGAGGGCTATTTTAGACAAAAGCAATTCTTACAAAACAACCATTTAGGGAATTATTCTAAGAATTACTTGGGACTTTTCTGGTGTACTCGTCCTATCATTTTGTATGCAGGTTGCTTAAACACTCAAGGTGGGTAATTAAGCCACTTATCCCAATAATTCAGGTCACACAGCATTAAAAATGCTGAGGAAAACATAGTTTGATATTTCTACTTTTTCTATTTGTCATTTCCTCCAATCTGTCCTTTATTGTGATTGGACACAGCCTTTGGTAACAAGATTGATTTTATTCCTATTTGCCCCTAAGTGTTGTAATCCTGCCTGACATTTCTTGCTTAATGTAGAAACCAAGCAAAGGTTCCGCTTGTGCTAGGCTTCATTTCCAGTCATCTGACATAGATGAGCTCTCAGGCCATTGTTGGACTCTCAGACAGCCCTGTGCCCCTTTCTCTTTCCAGGCCCTGGAAACTCTGGCAAAGAATAAGAACTGAATCAATCAATGTTTTGACTTTCTGAATTGCTCAGACTCAAAGACAATCCAACTGAGCTCTCATCTACTCCTTGAACAGATCCTGCATCTGGTACCTCCACTCAAACCTCAGAAATACTCATAATCAAGAAAAGATATGGGAAGAACCCACATAGAAAAATAGGCTTTCCAGGAGAAAAACTCTTCTTTCATTTGTCAACTGGTAAAGAGTCATTTCCTCCTTCAGAATAGCCTGGAGATATATATATATATATATATATATATATATATATATATATATATATATATATATATATATCAGCTGATATATATATCTTCTGATATATATATATATCAGAAGAAATATATTTTCTGAAGCACTGGAAAAAACCTACCGAAACCAGTTTTTTCACTTAGGTCAACCCATTTCAGACTTTACTGGAAAATGCTGTACTACCTCATTTTATCTCTCTGAACACAGTCTTTTCTGGAAATGCATCCTAATTGACTAATGTTAGAAACCACCATAAACCAAGCCTGTAGATACCCAGGCTGAGATAGACTGCACCTGCATCAGTCTGGGCTGAAGTCCTTAAGACAATTTTCTAGTCATTTGGGTGGTTTGCTGTCTTTTCYGATGAGCCATAGACTTCTGAGTTATTCTTATAATATCTGATCCACAAGTGTTGATGTTCCTACTCAACATGTTTCATGGAAAATTCTAGAACAAAAAAAATAGTATAGAACATCCTACTTTACACATCAGTTTGACTGTTAAAATATTATATATGGTACATTTTATTATAAATCAAGTCACATTCATATGACTCAGTGGTGCTGACTATTAAAAGCAATAGTTCTCCAATCCTTTTATAAAGCAAAGAATCATTTCAAAGGCAGAGATCACTTGGTAATTGTTTTTCTGAGTAAATCCTCACATTAATGACATTCCTACAATCCTTAATAAAATATGTGCAACAGCAAAGGATAGATGGGTGAGAAAAGTGAGATAATGATCACATAACCTCACGTGCACTCATTTTTTAAAAAATTACATGATGTGATTTTTCTCTATTGAAGATAGTTTTGGGGCCTGAAATCCTGTGAATTATTTCAGTTTTCCATTTTGAATACGTATAGGTGACAGAATTCGAGTTCCAGCCTTGTTTTAGAGTTTTCTCTCTTCTGTTTTTTAAAACTTTCTGTTTCAATCCTTGAGCATCACACAGAGAAAGCCTGGATTTCAAGCTTGTGAAAAGGCAAAATGTGAGACAAATGGAGATGCTCATTAGACTCCAGAATTTGCATTTTCTACACCCCCAGGAGGATTTATTGCCTGATTTTCCTCAACCTGGGAGCATATGGCTTCCACACTGCTCTTCTTCCTGGGTTGAAAAATCATTACTCTTCTCAGTTTTCCTCCTCAAGACTTAACTCTTTTATATTGTCTATTTTTTTTTGTACTGGGGATTGAACCCAGGGTACTCTACCACTGAGCCACATCCCCAGCCCTTTTTATTTTTTAGTTTCAGACAGGGTTTTGCCAAGTTGCTGAGGGCCTTGCTAAATTTCCTAGGCTAGCCATGAACTTGCATCCTCTGGCCTCAGCCTTCAGAGAAGCTGAAATGACAGGCATGCGTCACTACACCCAGCTAGATTTAACTCTTTTTATTCAAAACATGCACAGACACACTTAACATGTATGCACAATTATTCAATGCAGCAATTGATTTTAATATGAAAGATAAGCATGACTGAATATTTTTCATAGTCACAGAGATAAAAATACTGGCTCATTATTAAAAATTTAATTTTATGAGCATTTTCCTCCAGTTGAAGTCCCCACATTTTATGTAGTTGTCCTGGTTGATTCAGCATTTATTGCATTTCTACTATGTGAAAATCACTGTCGATACACTGGGAATGATAAAGAGAGGAATATAGCACAGCCTGAACCTTCAGGAGCTTCAGCTCCAATGGACAAGCCATTCCAGCCAGGAGTTACAATGCATCGCAGAATTAAATCAATGCCATGACACAATAAAGGAACGATTATATAAAAAAAAAATTTAAATGTCTTTTCAAAAAAGAAAAATTTGTGTTGAGCTATGAGAGCTGAGAATTAGCTTGGTTCAACAATGAGAAAAAAAATGTATTTCAAACTGAGAGATTTCCTTTGACTTTTGCGTGAAGGATCAATTTGCAAGAATAAATGTCTCAGTTTTTTGACTTCTGAAAATTAGCTGTTAAAATGAGTTGTACTTCCTTTATTTATATAGAAGATAAAGAGAAGGAGAAGGAGGTAGAGGAGGAAGAGAAGGAGGAAGAGAAGAAGTAGGAGGACATAGAGAAGCTGCCTTTTAAGAAGATTCCACTTTTTCTCTCTCAAACTTGCTTGTGCGCAAGAAAGCAGTTGTCTGAATCAATCACGCTTTGCTAATGAACTACTTTGTTGCTAAATCTGCTTATATTATTGTGGATTTTTTTAATCTTTTATTTTAGATTTCAATTGAAATACATGAGTACAGTACTAATAAGTGAAAATCTGATCTTATTATCATGAAAAATCATGTTTCAAAGCAGCCACTCTGGTCCTCTATTCTGTTTGCTCTTAGCCATTTATTTTTCATTCCCCTTTAAAGTTTCTATTTAAACACACCTCTTTGTCATATGCTGATAAATATTAAAATAACAGGAAAAATCTGCCTGACTTATTTAAGCTGATAATAAGAACAAAACACGGGATGTGTGTCTCCTCCTTCCTTTTCTGACTGTGGTTAAGAAGATTTTGAAACCCATAATTACGTAATAATTGGTATCACTACATTCTCTTCCCAGTGAAAAGCCAGGATTTTTTGTAGTTTGCCACAAAGACAGACAAAAACAAATTGCCTAAGTGGTATTGTCATTTCTGTGCTCCATTGTTTTAAAGGAATTTAGCAAAAGAGTCTCTAGCTGCCAAGCTGTAGTTACTGTGCCAAAAATCACAAAACAATCTTTCCAACAGCATCTTTGGCTAATGAACTAATTTATAGAACCATAAATGTCACATATTGTCCTAATATCTGTCGATATGTATCACAAGAACAAGGAAACAGTCTAAATATTCAAATTGATCTCAAAAACATCTTAGCAAATTTGCCAAACAGAAATACCAGCAGCCATTACCTGACTGGTCGGCTAGTGAGATGAAATGATAGATGTTTCAAACCCAACTCCTTTCATCTCCAAGTATGCAACACCAGTTATATGATAAAACACTCTATTTTGTTTCTTTTTGTAAAACTTCTAAAGGAAACAGTACATCCAGCACCCTAGGTTTTTGAAGTCCATAGTTAATAGTATTATTTACTTCTAATTATTTCCTATCATGGGGCTCCAGAGTAAACTCATCCTTATTTAATGTCTTTCTCTCACTTTTATTCTTGTCTGCGATCTTTCTTTTGTAAAAATATTTTTAGAAGCGTCTGCCATAAATACTTTGGAAACCCATGAGCCAATGGAATCGCAGCTTTTGTTCCCTTCTTTTAGAAGCTGGGCTTTTGTGATACTTTCGTGATACTTACGGTCATAGTACTCGCATGAGATCAGAACTTCCAGGTAGGGAAGAGCTAAGTCTAAAGGGGAGGGTACAGTGCTGCTAGAAATGGAATCTTGTGAGAGGCAGTGTTAGATGTGAGGTGGTTATGCTTTGAGTTCATCTTAATAGTTTCTTCTGTTGTTTTGCTGAAATTCACTACTACAAGAATAGCGCAGGATCAAGGGGGAAAAACTGCATTTGGACTTAAAAAAAAAGAAAGGTGATCTAATGGTTTGTGTATTGTGTCAATAATTTGTGTTCGACTCATCTGCATGGTATTGCCTTATGGTGGGCCTTCCTCTCACCACTCTCAATACTGCAGGAAAAGCAGATGCACAGTACTGAACGATGAGAGATTAGTTTTTTTTTTTTTTAAGAAAGTAACAAAAAACACCTTGGAGGAACAAAGTTTGAAAATCTCCACGAGAAATGATTTGTGACCTGGAAGAACCTTCGGTTTCACACCTGGAAAAGATGTAGGGATGTAGGTGTAGTGACAGCTATAATTGATGCTAAGAGGAAACCACTAACATATCCTTGGAACCCCTGAGGCCAGTGTGGGCACCTGGGGGGTCACTGAGGTCAGCTCTCCTGGAATTCACTGGAGCCTCAAGGCTTAGGTCAGCCTGCACTCCATCACAGCTCTRATGGCTGCTCCTCTGGTGGGAAAGAGCAGCCCCGTTCCATCCATCACAGTTGGAAAATTTGCCCAAGCATAAAATGGGCAATTTTTTTTTTTAAATACTGCTTTTAATTTGGTTTTACTTGGCATGAAGTGAAGTTTTAGTATACCTTTGAAAAAAAAAATCACCAAGAGACATTCTTCTGAGAGCCATAGCATGCAAACAAATGTTATTCCAAAGGCAGTTCTGAATAAGAGGCACAGTTCTGATTTTGAAACATGGAGATAGCTCTGGTGACATGGCCTACCTTGCAGGTTGACTCTGGAGACAGGAGGCTGACTAGCCGCTGGGGACCTCCTGTGGAGAATGAGAAAAGAAGGGCTGAGTTCATGTATTAATGCTCCCACCCCGCTGTGATCACTGAGGAGTTTTCCAGGTCATAATGAGCAATCAAGTGACATAATGCTATCTCCGGAAGGCAGGCTCCTGTATCGTGGGTCGATGACTACAATTCTCTCACATCCAGATGGCCTGGAATTTCCCTCTGCACAGCCTCAGGATGTTCTCACTCTTCAGGAAGGAAGTTGTTTACCAGGTCCCTAAGTCAGCCCCTCTGTTTGGTGTTTTGCTGTCCCAGGAGTCTCTCAGAAGAGGAGACATTTGCTCAGGCATCGTTCCAATGTCAGAGTGAATTCTAGTTTCTTTGGGTAGTGCTGTAGAACGTTACAACCAGAGGAACCCTTAGAGAGCAAAAAGTTCAGGCCCTGCAGTTTTTGTATCTCAGGAGACTGGGAACTCAAGAGCTGAAGTCACTTGCTAAAGGTCACCCAGCCACCAGCAACAGTAACCCAGCTTGCTTAACTTAGGGAACTGCTTTTTCATGCAGGAACTGGGGCATCATTCTTCATCCTAGCAAGTTTCCTGATAACAACACTCAAATGAAACAAGCAAACAAACCCATGTTACACTAATAGTGGGTCTTTTTCTCCTTTTTTGTTTCTTTTTCTTATTCCCTAATTTTGCTGGTTTCACCAGCTTCATGCTTTGCAGAACTAATGTCTGCAGACTCTTCTGGATTCCCAGATTCCTGAGAATCTCCCAGTGCTATCAAATTTTAGGGTGCACTAGAATCACCCGACGGGCTTATTAAAACATTCTATGAAACACTACCTCTGGAGTTTCTGATTCAGTTGACMTGGGCTGGATTTGAAAGTTTGCATTTCTAATAGGTTGCCAGGTGCTGCTGTTGGGGTCTGGGGACCCTACCTTCAGAACCACTGGTACTAAGGATTCTCTATCCCTCTAAGGAGCAACAGGATGTTGGCAATGAGCAAGAGAGCGGCACCTTAGGCCAAAAGCTCTCAAACATGGATAAGCATCAGCACATTTGGGGGGGGGTCTCTTGAATCCCTTTCTGTATCCCTGAAAGTCCATTCCAGTATATCTGGGATGATGCCTGGGAATCCATATTTTTACTCCTTTGTGCATTCCCAGGCACAGAGAAGTTTGCCAAAGAAGCCAAATTCTGAACGGTAGAGAAAGACCTACCAAGTTGTTGCCAAAGAAGGCTCTTCCTACTGATTTTCCTACATAATTATTTTTCTAAGTACTCTATCAATCTCTGATCCCTTATGGGTAATCCAGCTTCTACATAGTCATGCACTGTAGCTAGAGTCTGTAGATAGGGTCCATATTCAGGACTAATTTCCTAGCTGAGTGATTCTAGGCAGGTACTTTTTTSTTTGTTTGTTTGGTACTGGGGATTAAACTCAGGGGGACCAGAACACTGAGCCACATCCCCAGCCCTATTTTGTATTTTATTTAGAGACAGGGTCTCACTGAGTTGCTTAGTGCCTTCCCATTGCTGAGGTTGGCTTTGAACTCTCGATCCTTCCGAGCTGTTGAGATTATAGGTGTGTGCCACCACACCTGGCTAGGCAGGTACTTTCAAATCCTTTGTTGCACCAAATTTTCATGTGTGACAAGAGAAGGAAAGTTATCATCCAATGATCATTTTCTCTGTAAGACACTGTACTGCTTCCTTTGGTGGGAATACTATTTCATTTTAAGGATAAGGAAACAAGTTCAGAGAAGTTATTAAAGCACACATAGTTTCCGACCGGCAGGATTTCAAAGCCAAGTCTTTCTGAATCCAAAGTGCAAGCTCTTTCCTTTATACCCTCTGCTGATAACACCTGCGTGAATACTGAGGGCTGTTTTTCAGGAAAACTGAGAGATTAAATTCCAAACCCTTGGCCTGGAGTTCAAAGTCCTTCACTCTCACGCATCAACATACTTTTTCTAGGCTTATCTGAATTCCTCCTGCCTGACATTTCTTCTCAAACCACTGACTATGTGTTCTATGCATCTTGTACTGCTCCTTTGTAGAACTTTAAACTTGTAATTAAAATAGTCCCCAATTAGAGTTCCATAGATGACTCCTTCAAGGTCAACTGCATATGGGTAGGCAATGACTTGTTCACTCCTGGATCCCAGCATGGCATACAGGATGGTATTTCACTTATCAATCCCTCAGCAATACTTGTTGAATTAAATAAGAACTGGATGGATGGATGAATGAATGAATGAATGAATGGATAGATGGGTGGACTTGGAAAGATTTGATTCATGCTTGGCCAATGCCAAACTTGATTACTTTTTTTTCCCTTGAATATGTGTTGTCTGTTTCCTGCTACTGCTCAGGTCATTCCTCTGCCAGGGAAGCATTTCCCACCTTATATATCACCTGCTGTTCAAAGACCAAGCATCTTTCTCAAAGGATACTCTGCTCAACTGAAAATCATTCTTCCTCTAGACTCTAATGTGTCTTTGGAGTCATTTCCCATGTTATGATTCATATAGGTACATATATCTCGACCAATAATCTGTGGCAGAATCCAGTTCTTTATATCCTATGCAAGACCCACCAGCTTCCTGGCAAATAGTTGAACTCCTAAAGCATTGGCAGACTTTTGATTGGATGGACCTTTGGCATAAAAGTGATTTAAGGAACCAAATAATCCATAGGAATGTGTTCCTTTTCACATAACAGTCTTGGTTCTATATATGTCTCACTGTCTCTTGAACACGCATAATCTAATTTATGGCTGTGCCTTTGCATACGTTTTGTTTAGTTGAACATCTTTCTTCYCCTTTTTAAGTAGCTAATTCTTTCATGTGACCTGGGACTGCACTCAGGGCCTACGAGTGGGCCTTGACCAGTGCTATAATATTTCCTGAGTCTACCCCATCATTTCTGTGTTTACAGTGTATTGCATTTACCACTTTTCTATCCGTTTGCCCAACTCATCTGTGAGAAATGTAAGCAAAGACTGAGTGTTATTCATAGTAGTACCTCTAGAATCTAGCATAATATTTGGTATGATGTAGGTATTCAAAGCATATTCACTGGACTAATAATCCATTTTTAATGATTTTATTTTGCATCTATTCCTGAGTTCCAAAGAAGGCTTTGTGAAAGGAAAGAGTAAACTAGGAGATTCTAAATGTTGTCCATCTTTGCTTACAGCACCCAATTCTCTCAATGACTTCTTGGAAATTAAACATATTACATAAACTCCTTCATCTCAGAAGTTGTTTTTTTGAAAATATGACTTTCATTTAGAGTTGTTAATTCAGATAAGCATCTCTGTGTGTAAGCTTTAGAAAGCCAGGAACCATGGTTATGTGGTTCATCACTTATTCTTGAGATCTGGTGCAAGAAAAAGGTTTAATGATTTTAAATGAATGACTTCTGAAAGCCACATTACTGCTTGGAGGACATAAGAATTCCAGTGAGAAAAATGTGATAAATGCAGGGGGAAATGATATTGTTGGCCTAACTTCCAATGGCCCATAACTTAGGGAAAGATCATAAGAAATTCTCTGCCTGGCTGCTAGAGATGGTGATATGAACAGGGAGGGCCACAACACTTATTTTTTTCCAGCCCTGAATAGTACAATGGAGAGAAAACTGGACTATGAATAAGAAAGCAGGAATTCTAATCCTGGCTCTAGCACCTTCCAACTGAGTAGCCCTCGGCAACTCACATGAACCTTTTACTTTCTTCCGGACTTGGGGAGAGCAGGCAGCAGCTAACATCTACTTCTGATTTACAATGTGCTAGGCCTGTGTGTGAGGTTTTTCATATATTTTTCTGACTTACTCTGAGGAAATCTGGCTAGGTTCTTTCCAGCCCAGAATGCTCAAGATTTTATGATTCTCAGCTAATTTAAATCCCATGCCAAAGTACATAAAGCAATGAAAGGCATATCAGACATACACTTTAAAAAAATGAGATCATTAATTCTCTCCCAAAGATTATTTATATTTTAATTAGATTATGCTTTGGAAGAATGTTAATAGAAAGATGTTGCATTGATTTCCTGATAGTCACAGGTAACATGCATGATGTTAGTGACAAAGTGGGATGAGGAAGGACACCTTGCTACAGGCTGGTTACTGGTTACTGACTCCTGGACTGTGGGCACTTTCACACAGACATCTGATTACTCCATCAGGAAAAGTCTGAAGCCAGTAAATAGTTTAGGGATGCTTATCTATATTAACAACTCTAAATGAAAGCCATATTTTCAAAATTAACTCCAGGGACAATGGAAATAAGGCTGAATGTGCAGCCAAGAAATACAGGCCCAATCAAGTGTCCCTCTGTGTGATACACCATGGAGATGCAAAGAAATCAGTTCAATGGGAACCTTTCGATTTTCACCCTTTGGGTGGTAAAATTCAGGCAGACAATGGACTACTTTTATGCAGAGCAAAGAGCCAAGAGATAAAAGAAACCTTCACTCTGAGAAGTGCTATTCTATGTGGGAGTTCCTTTTCATATACAAACCACACTAACCAGATGTCTCATACAAACCACTCCAAGGAAATAATTATTGCTTAAGTGTTTCATTCAAGACAGGGAGTGGCACCCTGAACCCAAGTCAAATATCCCAGAAAGCAACTTCTGAAGTCCATGAATCTTATATTCTTGATATATGTGGAGGCTGGGGGTGGGAAATAAGTGTACATCTGAAATGTCTTTCATTGCTCTTAGGATGCTATATCCACTCCTGGCAGATAATATTATCTGCACTTCCTTCTCTTGGATTTTCTCCAGTTGTTTGAGGTTATTGACTATCAAGGAATAGACTGTCGAGAATTCATTAAATGAACCCTCAGTTCTCCAACCTGCCCTTGCCAGGCTGCTCCAACTGTGGTCCAAACCCATCATTCTGGTACACTCCTTTTGTAGCTCGGGCTATACTCCCTTTGGTGAAGCTCTAGTGGGGGTTTTCCCTGTCTTAAGTTTTTGTTGCTTGCTATTGGTTATAATAGCAATTAATAACAGGATCAATTCTGTACAGACATGTTGGTGGATTTGAGAAATATCAGTCAATGCAGCTATCTTATAGCTGAAGATCTATTCTGTTGGGTAGTTGCGGTTTGCTTTGGACCAAATGTGACACAAAGGGCCACCATTTGAGGGGTAGAAACAGGCTGTAAGTCAGGTTTTGTATGGCAATTATGGTCTCAGGATATTTGATTCATAAAAGCTTATATGGCCCCAAACCCACAGGACTATATGAGGACCTGATTGTTAAGAAAGTAATTTAAGCTGACATAATTTATTTGTCAGCAGGGATAGGATGAATGCCCCAGTACTAACTAGGAAAGACCACCTAAACGATGCTAAGGAATCAGGCTGAAATCACTAAGCCCGCCCCTCTTTTTCCTTGGAGCTACACAGTGTAGTGGTTTGGGYATAGTCATGCCAAAGAACCCTTTAAAATGTGTCCTTTTTCATCCTTCCTCTCCATTCCCCCCTATATCATTTTGGCCCTCACATTTCATTTCCTGCAAATACTATCTTAGCTAACGTCTCTGTCTTTGGGCTCTCTGACTGTCATCAGTTCCATCAGTACTTCTTAAAGGTTATTGTTCCAAAGATCTCCAGGGACTTCTTCCCATAACCCAGAGGACTTAGTAGGGGTAGAGAATGGGAAGAGCTCTGCAATGAGAGCCAGAAAGCCAGGTTTCTAGTATGACTGCTGCTCACAAGACGTGTGTGGCCATATGCTTGTCACTTCCTCTCCTGAAGCTTTGTTTCCTAACCCATAGAGAGGAGGTGACAAGGCCTGCCATGAGATTTATTTATGGTGGTTGTCACTGAGATAATGGATACGAAAACACCACAGTGTTACAGTGCTTCTGGATTTAGCAAGAGAAATTGTCTATCATTATAACAGTTTAAATTTGCTGGGCTCGATGGTGCTTTGAATGCTTTACAAATATCAGCTCATTTAATCCTCAAAACAACCCAATTTTACAGATTAGGAAACAGAGATTTAGAGAGAGAAATTAACTTGCACAAATACATAATTTTAAGTTATTCTACAGAAAGCAAAAACAAAATATAGGGATAGAGGAGAAATCACTTCTAGAAAATAATTTTCTAAAAAATTGTGGAAATTYCCTGAATCATTACTTATTCAGAAAATCATATATATGATGACTATTTATGGAAAATTAAACTGTGTGTCAGCATTCTACTAATTCTTGGGAATTCAAAGAAAAATAAATCCAAGTTTCCCTCTAAGAGCTGCACAGTCTAGTGATTGGCCAAGATCCACAAAGGAATGTGCAAGGGTCTTTAGAATATCTTCCAGTCACATGAGGGCCCACTGTGCTATGGAAGAGTAAGGGAAAGCATTCTGATAAGGTGATACTAGAAGGGACACCATATCATATTATCATAAAATAGAGCTAGGACCTGGCCAAGCGGACACCACTAGGAGGAAGGAGACATTTCAGGAAAAGAGAACAAAAGGTCCACAATTAGGATGGAGAAGAGAGCATGCAGGGAACCGCTAGACCACAACTATTGAACCCAATCCCATGTGGCTGGAGACCTGGTCTGGTTATTCACCACTGGATCCCCAGGCACTTCCTATTAGAYAGTAAGCCTTGAAAGGGCAGAGAACTTGTCTGTTTTGTTCACTATTATATAATCAGTACTTGCCAAAAAGTGGGTGCTTAGCTAATATTTGTCAGTGCACATGTACATGCATGAATGAATAGTACATACTGAATAAGTCCTTACTGGATGGATTTTGATAAATAAGTAAACAGAGAGTACCACTCCAGAAGAGGCTGGGTCAAGTCTCAAAGTTTCATATACTGGCTGAGTATCTGAGATCTGAAATGCTTGGGAACAGAAGTGTTTCAGGTTTGGGATTTTAGAATATTTGCAAATAYGTCATCATATACCTTAGAAATGGGACTCAAGTATAATCACAAAATTTACTTTTTTGTTTATACACACCTTATTATACATGGAACCTGAAGGTAATTTTATACAATATTTTTAGTGCCCGTGTGTTTTCAGTGCAACCCATCATGACAAGTCTGCTGTGGAACTTTTCACCTTTGGTATCATGTTGACTAGCACTTAGTTTCAAATTTTGGATTTTCAGATTGGGTGTTCAATCTATCCGTACATGACACTAAACATAAACCCAACCAACAATCAGTCAAATTAATTTGATCTGGGCTGTAAGGTACCTTGGGTACTAAGCACTAGCTTCTAAATTTTTTTCTTAATGATGGGAGTGGACCACTGCAATGGTCCACAAATATGCATTTTATTCATTAACCATGCGAGTGCAACCAACAATTCTGATCAAACAGAAAGTTTGCTCTGTTAGAAATCTGGAGAATAGTTTAGAAAACTAGAGTCCAAAGGTGGGAAAGCCTCTGCTCGGGTAGGCACATTCGTCTCACATGGAGGCTTAAAAACAAGTTATAGGACAGTGAACCGAAAAGAAATCACTCAAAATAGGCTACTCTCACTTTTCATAAGCCCACTCTAGGGTGATTTGAATGATCACAAAACAGAGGATGGGTGAATGACTTTACAAAGACCTCAGACAGGATACTCTGTACCTTGAACACTGAAAAATCAAAAGACTTAAGTTTTGGCCCCTCTGTGTCTTTTACCTATGTCATGGTTGCTAACTAGTTGCTGGTCTCCTGAGGGCTTGCATTTATCTTTCAATTAAACAAAAAGGTTGAACATCATGGATTCTATGACCCTCAGAGCCTGAGGATCTATTAAAACATGTAGGAGAGTGAACTGTATAGCACTTACATTAGGCTTATGGATTGAAATGATTTTGGAAGAGAAAGTTACTGTCAGGAATAACAAGTTCAACCCCGTTACCTTACAGATGAGGAGACCAAGGATTGGCAATGTTAATTGAAACAAGCAAGGTCATGTATTTCACTAGGGAAAGAGAAGAATGTAATTCCACTATTAATCATCAAACTGCACCAACCTGCTTTATGTATTATCAAAAAAACACACCCCTCAAAAAAAGGAAAAAAAAAACAAGTAACTTGAGCTTGAGCTTTAGGTATCTTTAATTTTAAATTTGAGTCTCTTAATTCATTAACATCTTATTAAAAAGAATAGAATTTTTGGTCATTTTTGGCCAATATGACAAATACAAAATTTTAAAAATTATCCTCGTCTCATTATTTCATTTATTGAACTCCTCTAGTATAGTTAAGGGTTCAAAAATCAATAAAACACAGACTAGATAATTTCTAATGTCTTACCAGTTTCAAAATACTGTAGTGTTCTATCTTATTTTCAAATTTCATTGTGTGTGGAAATACAAATTTCATTGTGTATTTAGTTTGGAGAGCAAATTTCCATGCAATACTTGTTTATTTAGGGGGGTTTTAAAAACTGCTGTTAGGTGGTTTTTGTTTTGTTTTGTTTTGTTTTGTTTTTGCTTTTATGGAAGGGATTCATAACTCCACAGAGTCAGTGCTTACTTGTTGGATGTTCCATGAAGGTTTGTCAGTAGAGTGAAGTTATTTCTCACACTTCGCAAGCTGGCAAGGACCTATAAAGAAAAGGTTTCAAATGGTTAGTGACAAAAGGGGACAGATGCCAGACTCCAAAGCCACATTTAGGAACCACACCCAGGGACAGAGTGAGATTGAGCCAAGACCAGCATAATACGTACCTGGGCAAATGGAGTGACAATCAAGTCATCGCCGTGTCTAAAGAAAAGAGAGAAAAAGAAACATTCAGAAACACACCTCAATTGCAACCATGACACACAAGCTATAATATAACTTGATCAATATTAGCAACACATGTATTCTATAAATACGTCTACCTGGATAGAAGGCAGGATTTGCAATCAGGCAAAAATGGGGATCCCAAGAGATTTTAAGAAAAAAAATAGCACCAAGTTCATGACTCCTAGATTTACGGTGATTTCACATACAAGCATTTACAAGTAAGCTTATATCCTCAGGGTATCATTCCATTAAACAGCAGACCCAGAGTACTGTAATTCAAAGCGACTTGTGGAGTTTGGTTGTTAGAGCCAGGAAATTCAAAGGGAGGGCTGCTCACAGGCACACACAGAGTTGGAAAAAATGGTATAACAGTCTGGATAAAGGTTAACTTTGGATTTCCTGGCTTTTGTTGATTTAAACCACAGCTTTAATGCCATTTAAACACAGATTTCTGTCTGGGAATCCCATTACTTTTTTTTTTTATTTTTAATATAATTTTTTTTTTCTTAAAGTACCCAAGGAAAAGCTTTTAGTGGAAGTGAACAGACTGAACCTCCTAAAACCATACCATTGTTACTCATTTGGTCCTGAAGACCTGATTAATGTGTAGCTAGTGTTTTGTAAATCTGTACTTGGGACTAGTCAGAAAAGTGTTTTCAGAAGTGTACCTTCGCTCTCTCTGATGCTTGCTTTAATAAATCCACTTATGCCGACATCCAGCAAGCTCTCTACTGAAGATCTTAGGCCACGTGTCAGCCTGAGCTGCAGTCACAAAATCAGGACAGTTTTTTTGTCAYGGTGTGAATCATAACAGCACCGAAACTGGTGACAATGAGCTCCCCTCACAGTCTGTCTCTCCCTTCTCTGKCCTCATGATTGCCATATGCATGCAAATATGGCAGCCTATTCATTAACCATATGAGTGCCTCCAACAATTATTAGGCATGTGCCTCATACCAGCCACTATGTGAGGCCGGGGGTGGGGTGGTGGTGTCCAGATTTGAACAACRCATGCCTCCTCCTTGACTTCTTCTCTGGCTCAGGCTTTTAGCCTGGGCCCTATTTAATACTCTATGTCCCTTTCCATCTTTGTCTTTAGCTACGAGCCTCATTCAATTTAATCTAGCAAACTTCTTATGTGCCCACTTTGTACAATGATAATAAAAAGAATATCAACAAAAGGGAAGCATTCTTTGTGTGACTCACAACAGCAGCACAGAAGATGGTAATGGTGGGCTCCCTTCTGTCTACCCCTCTGTCCTCATGATTGCTACATAAATATGTGTGTGTCAGCTCCTTTATGCACATTATCTCATTTGAATCTTAGAACAAGTCTTTCAGGCAGGTACTGTTTGGTATTCACATGTGATAGGTGATGCCAGCTGCAGAGCAGTTACCCAGTTGCTTAACCAAAAATGTTAATCAGCCAAAGAACTGAGACTGATTCCCACAATCTGTGCTTTAAATCCTATGCTTCCTATTTTACGGTGACACTGCACAGTTGACAAATCAAAATAGGAAAGGCTAAGTCCTGTGTGAGGTGAACTTTGAAGGGCAGTCTTTCAGAGAGGGCTACAGACATTTGTAGAGAAGAAGGTGAGAAGGTCTCCACACCCATATTATGGGCAGCCTGGTGAAAGATTATGGAATTGGTGCTTAATTTGGTAGGAAGAAATAAGCAAGTGAAGTTTCTTAGTGAGATGGGAAGTAAGAAAAGCAAACTGAAAGTGTTTTTGGAGGTCAAATGCTAGGGAGGCCAAGGATAGATCAGAGAGGGGACATACTCAGAAAGAAGAGTAGGAGGTATTGCAGATGAGAAGGTATGGGTATGGCCAAGATAGGACAAGACTAGCTCAAGACATTCCAGAGGTCTTGCTAGGACTCGGTATTTAAATGAATAAAGAAATATTGCTTTCAATTTAAAAATAGGTATCTGAGACAACAGTCATGAGTAGGAACAAGTGACGAGGAGTTGGGGCGTTTGGAGGATTCTCTGAGTTTTCAGAGCACATGTGGTATTAAGGCACTTGGCAGAGACATCAAGCAATAAGGCTGAAATGCAGTAATTAGATCTATAAAGTTAGGAGTCTCCTACAATCATAAGGATACTTAAGGCAATAGCAGGGGATGGCTTTCTCTAGGTGGCAGTATATATAGATAAGAAGTCCAGGGAAGAACCTTAGGGCTCTTGMAAAGTAGTTCAAAGGAGAGAGAATAAAGAATTAGAAGAGGAGCAGTTGTGATAGATGTATGATGAACTGTATCAAAAACTGCCCCTTCCTAGTTGTTTTCTTAAGATGAACTTTGAGAGGGGTGAAAAATCTTCCTGCTCATTGAGATTGCTGATGCAAGGTCCGTATTGTTCCTAAGATGTCAAAGTGAGTTGGTCATGAATCAAGCAGATCTCTTATGACTCCTGGATTTCTGGAGTGTAAATATCTGTTGAAAGCAAACAGCACAATCAAATTCATATATTTATGGTACTTAGAGCTGATGTATTGGTAAATGAATTGGGAAGCTACTAAAACTGCATAAAGCAATGATTAAAGAAGATAAACAAACATTAATAGGGAATGTTATCACTGTTGAGTTTTGAAGTTCAGAAGAGCAGAATGTTCCAGAGCAGGAGATGGATTTGATGGATTTGCAGATCCTAAGCATGTTAACCCACAAAGGATTTGAGCTGCAAAAGCCAATGCTGGATGTCACTGAGGGCTACTAGAGAAAATATCAGATAGTTTATAATGAGTATCAGGACAGAAACAAAATAAAATTGTTGAAACAAACAAAATATTCCAGGTTATGAGACTATTTGAACTTTGAAAATCATAATTTAATGTATTACCAATTAAAAGTATACTGGTATGGAAATAACAAAACACTTGATTAGAAACACTAATGCCTTTCTTGATTTTCCAAACAACCAGAAAAAGCCATTGTGCTTAGGAACAAGGCTGGATATTCAGAGCTGTCGCATGAGCAACATCTAGTGAAAAAACCAGCACATTACAATTTTGTAGAATAATTGGAGATGAGAACTATAGTCTTGAGTCTTAGCAGTGGGTTTTGAAATTGACTGCATGTCTTCTCAGAACAATGAAATGTTTCCCCAGAAAGCAAAAAATCCTTCTTCTAACTGCTGTACTCTACACTTTATGGATTAACTTCACCTTCCTCTGATATCTTCTCCTGCAGAACTGTAATTTTAGTCTGCCTTATAGAGATATGTATACCATAGTGGGTAGGAGCAGATTTGGGAGCTAGACAGCAAGCTTTGCTTTACAATTGTGTTATTACTAACTCTAAAACATTAGATAACCTGTGTGCCATCTTCTTCATCTGCAAAATGACAATTAAATGAGTTATTATATATGTACAACTCTTAATAATGGGGATTGTTATATAAAAGCATTTATTTATTTCATCATAGTTATTTTAAGTTAATAGTAGTATCTTTATATTATTTTATTTTAATATTTATTTTATATTTACTTTTGTTAATAGTGGTATCTTTGTAACTATGGTTAAAGAGTTGCATGTCTATCTTCTAAGCTGGTGAGAACTTCTTCAAGATACACCTGCCTGTCCCTGTTGCAATCAAGAGGACATGAGTTTACAATGTACTTTACAGTTTACAAAGTGCTTTCATAGACATTATTTCGTGTGATCAAAGGAAGCTCCGGATCCCAAGAAATGATGCGACCACTTATCTCTTTGACCAAATTTGAAACTTCCTTCTCCTCATCCCAACAATCAACTATAGACCCCTTTGATCCTAACTTGCAAATGCTTATTAATCATCCACTGGACCTRCTCTGAGAATTATTCTCTATCATATGGATTACCAAAGCAACCTACCACCTGCTCTTTAGGCTTGGTTGCTCTGCAAACCATCCTTCACTGTGCAACCAGAGCTGTCTTCTAAAAGCAAATATCTGATTATACATTTTTTGGCTTAAAAAAGTCTAGTAGTCCCAGTGCTTGTCTATAGCTGAAGACCAGCCTGCAGCAGAGGCCCTTCATGGCAAGGTTCTGGCTTCCTTCTCCAGCCTCTCACACCACATCCCCACCCCGTCAACTTCTCTGCCTCTGTCATGCTAAGCTGTGGTTCTCCACACTGCTCCCCTGCAACTGAAGACTTCATTGGCATGGCCTGTCCTCCTGTACACCCTTTCAGTCAGCCTAACTCTTCTGAAATGTCACCTCAAARCCTCTGTTCAGCCTGCCAGGCCAAACTTTTCAGTCCTATGCAAATCTCTGTGCCTTTGCCCTTACCTAAAAGTACTGAGATCACCTGTTGACTAACAAATCTTTTAGTTCTCTTGAAGGAATTGAAATTGTCTCATTTTTTGTAAGGTGCCTAAGTTTAAGTAAATATTTATTTAAAAAAGAATTGAGCTGTGAGTGGTGGCACACACCTGTAATCCCAGCAGCTCAGGAGGCTGAGGCAGGAGGATTGCAAGTTCAAAAGCCAACCTCAGCGAAAAGCTAGGTGCTAAGAAACTCAGTCTCTAAATAAAATACAAAATAGGGCTGGAGGGGGGATGTGGCTCAGTGGTTGAGTGCCCTGAGTTCAATCCCCTGTAACTGCCCCCCTCCCCCCTAAAAAAAGAAAAAGAATGAATGGGACCTTATAATGATTGGAAAGTTAGGCAGAACAGAGATGTTTAGTCTCATTTGGTATTTATGTGCTCAATATCCACTTGGTTTAGCCACCTGGACTCTTGGGACTCAAGCTTTGATTCCTATTTGGTTTCCCAATGTTCCCCTCTTTAAAATAAGAAAATGATAGTACCTTCCACATTGCAGATGTAGATTTTGAATGAATTAATATATGTAAAGGAATTTAAATAGTAAATAGCATGAGGAACTTGATTAATAAAAATGTGCTTTTACTTACAGATATGAAAACAATTCAATGTCTCAACAGCCATGGTGAGAGAATGGGATGGTTATAGTCTTTAACTTAACTCATAGGAACCACGTTGTACTCTTTGGGTCACCCATCAGCCATCAGGTCTTACGTTTGAAAAACTGTTCTTTGTGCTGTTCCTCTTGGTTTTTCAGTCTCATTTCCCTTGACAACTCTCTAGAAACCACTTAGTTCTCATGTAAATTGCAGCTTGAAAAAACTCCTTGACTTCATAGAGATGTACAAATGGGATGACCAAATGAGAGAAGCCAGGAGCCTCCTTTCCTTAGTTTTGCAGGTGGATAATKAAGACTTCTTGTTGTCTGGGGCAGTTCCTGCCACAATTTTGGGCAATGAATCTGGTTTCGTCAATTTCTAGGACTTTCTGTACMGATTGGGAAATCTGTACCCGGGTATGCAAAGGCAATACGTGAGAGATGACAGCAACCCAGCAAATGATCAGAAAACAACAGATTCTTGCCACATCTAGGAAAGCATCTAAGATTTCCTTTTGGAACTCCATGGTGATCTTGTTTGACTTCTCTAGAAAGCCATTTTTATTTTCCATTCACATTTTTATGCTTAATAACTAACCCATTCTCTCTACTTTAAATTTTCTCTTACTCTTCTGAAAGAGTTCAGACAAAAAAAATGTTTAAAAGCTAGTGTCTCCCCTATTATTAGAATTTAATGCAGTGGAATTATGCAAATTTTTCCACTTCGTATAAATTCATCATTGCTCTGCTGGGTTGAGGCACTCCTGAGCAGAGAACATCCTGTAGCCCACACAGTGGCCTTCATTTCAAAACTCTTAGTTTATCATCACCCATTTTCTTCCTGGATCTATTGGGAGAAGATATGGGAAGCTTAGGGACTGCTGCTGTATTTATTGCAGTTCATTCTGAAGAGTAAAAATGGGAAGAAAGAGGTTTACAAGCATTACTCAAGCATTACTTCAGTTTAGATCCAGATGCCTGTGTGGAAMGGGATTTTCCAACATAGTGCTGATCAAATGAAATACCAGAAGAACCTGGGTATTATTTAAATTTTGATTTTTTTTTTGGTTATATTCATATGTACAACACCTTACACTAGCAAAACAAAAAAGATTTTATTGTAATGTTGAAATATTTTAAAACAAAATCTTTTGCTATTTTTATTTACAAATAGTTTAATATAACCTGTTATCTGCATAAGGTGGTATTAAGTTGCCAACTCTATTTTCTCAGGAGAGACTATTATTTTGAAACTCTGTCCTTCCAACATTTTTTAAAAGTCCTTTAAAAGTAAGAATGATACAAGATAATTTACATTTGTAAAGCTTACTTGTCTAAATTTAAAGTTGGCATCACTGTGTGGATTCTAGAGTTGGGGGAAACTTTTATTGGTCAGTAAAACTTCAGAAAAGGTAACCCACTAGCAACAGGGATACCAGGTGCAGAGTAACCCAGAACTACATCCTGTTTTCATCAGCTACAGACTGAGTTGGGTTGTGATCTTCAAGGTCTCTCCAAGGGCAAATTTTCTCTAATGTTTGATTTGGAGGAGAGAAACGCCAGAGTTGAGTCTGAAATTTGGATGGAGTCTTCTGTGAACATGAAATGCCTGGAGACTCATCATACTACCTAGCACAAGTTTGGTGAACTATACCTGAGTAATTAATTTAGGGAAAGACTTTTTTCCAAAGCTAGTCTTCTATCTGTAAAATGCCACATGAATGAAGTTTGGATTCTTTGAGCTCACTACATTTCCAATGCTCTCCTATGATGAAGTCTAGAAAGGTCTTTATCAAGGTGGAAGTAAGGATTCCTAGTGTATTCACTGTGAATGGTTACCACCCAAGACATAGTCAGAAAATATGGAGCCTGCATGAAGCATAACCAAATGGCCACCCCTCCTCCAGCCTCAGGTACCTCTATTTTGTACTCACGTTTTCTACCTTTACAGTATAAAGAACATAGACAACAAGAGTTCAAAACTTTTGAATATGACAATTGCTATGGTTTAGTTATGGTTTGAGGGTATCTCCCAAGAGTTCATATTGCTCAAAGTTGGGTCTTGGTATGGTGATGTTGGGAGGTAGTGGAACCTTTCAGAGGTGGGACCTAGTATGAGGTAATTGGGTCATTGCAGGCATTGCTCTTGCAAGGAATTAATGGAGGTCTTGTTGAGTGAGTTCATTCTCATATGATAGCAACTTGTTATAAAGCAAGTCCAGCCTACTCAGTTTGGCCCGTTTTGTATGTGGTTAGTTCCTTTTTTATTTCTCAGACAGGTTGAAATGCAGTCAAGGGGTCAGTGCCATGCTGTTTCAACCCTCCAGCTGCCAGAATTGTGAGCCAAATAAATTTCTTTCATTTATAAAGTACCGAATCACAGGCATTTTGTTACAGCAACAAGAAATGGACTTGATTCTTAGCTACATGGGGGGATATAGTATGAGACATAGTCATGAGATAGGGGCAAGTTTCTGAATCTCTCAGAGTCTCAGTTTCATCATCTACAGAGTGGGGATAATAATGGGACCTACCTGACAGGGTTGCTATGACAAATAACAGAGAATACATGTAAAGGAAACTGGCCCCAGGGTAAATGCTCATTAAATGCCATATTCCTTCTACTCTGTAGAGTAAAATGTGTATGTGTGTGTTCCTTTGATCATTCCTGGTTAGTTGCAATCTCCATGAGAACAAGCAAATTTGGGGGGAATGCTTTTAATTCATCTGTGAGTTCTCCACTGTGTTGTTCAACATTTATCCCCACATTTGTCTCGCACATTACACAGCACATAAGAGAGTTCAGTAAATATTAACTAAAAATGAGCGAAAAAAAAATGAATTTTGGTTCACACAATGATTTAAATATTTTAGGGCTGGGGTGCTTCTGTTAAAGTTTTCTAGTAGAAAGAACCAAGGAACATTTTCTTCCCCCTAGCTTTAAAATGCCCTCTGCCCCTTTACAAGAAGGTGAACCTTTTTGGCTTCCTCTCTAATAGAGAAAGAGAACCCCAGTGGAATTTTCCAGGCTGGAGACTTTAGGGAGCTACTGATATTTTTATAACATATGATGTTAAAAGCAATTGTATGTGTGCCCAGAAACCTTTTAAGGCATGGATTTTAGCATCCAATTTTATTTGGTTTCAGAAATTTAATAAGCAGGCAATACAACCCAGTCATTGTTCTTTAAATAAAAATTAGAGATCTACAATTAATAGGAGCAAAACAAAAACATCAGCTGTGCTTTGCGGGGCGGTGACGTGTGCCGTGTCTCACCAAGGAGTCAGGCAACAAGCGGGTATTGTGTTAGGTTCCAGAGAAAGGACAAAGGCACGTATCCGAGTGACGACCTAAATGCCACCAGACAAAGGCCAGTGAAAGAAATGCAGGTGACCAACCACCATTTTTTTTCTTCTCTGTGGGAGCCTCATGCAAACTGCACATGCAGCTGACTACTCAAGTGTGATTTGCGAAATGTGTTAAGGTTCTTATTCCATAAATGATTCAGCAGTTCAGGAAATGAAGTTCAATGAAAAAAAAAWTTTTTTTAAGGGTACATAACAGATGTGGACTGAACGCTGTGCCTGAGGTGTTTAAACACCTTTGGAGACCCTAGTTACAAATTCACATGCTGTAAAGCACTGATGTCGTTAAGATGGTCAACCCTGTCACCTCTGGTCATGTTCATTTTTTTTKTGTCCCTTCATCCTCAGGTTAAAGGGCAGCCGATGCTGCCGCTGCTATGACAGGGTGAAGATGAGGTAATGCGAGGCTGGGAGCCAGACAAGAAGAACACTACTCACTGCTCGCTTGGAAGTGATGAGTTTCTTGACATCGCCTTTGGTGACAAGTCATAGTCGCTGTCTGATCGGTACAGAAAGGACTCTCTGCGCTGGCTGTGCCCAGGAAAGGTGGCGTGAAGCACCAGCCCAGAGGAAGAGCTGGCCTGGGGGTCCAGTGGGCTCCGACCTGGGGAAGGGCCATTTTCCACATCAAAGCTTAAAGAGAAAACAGGAAACTCGGGTCACATGAGAGTCACAGAAGAAGACATCCAACATACTTTGAAAACCCACATGTGGCACTACTGGGTGCCAAGCACACTGCATGAAGCTTTATGCTTTATGGAAAATTTTAATTCATAAGATAGCTCTGAGTTAGAATCATTATTATTCCTGTTTTTTTAAATATAGGAAACCAAGTCCCACAGAATTTCATTCATTTACCTAATACCATCTTCATCAATAATGACCATCAGAATCTGAACCCACGAACAAATCCCCATGACCTCTTTCAGCAACATGAACAACTATGACAAATTAAGAATGAGAGTTGGAAAGTAAAATAATTTGTGATAATAAGCAAGTCTGGAGGGGACATCTAGCACAGCTCTAGGTGTCAGACACAGAGCTGTTATGTGAATGAGACTTCCTAGCTGGAAGATTTCTTCCTGCCATAAATAAATATCACAGTCTCATTAAAAATACAATATGCACACTTCCAAATGTTTTGGGAACAAAGTGTTATCATGAAAACATCCACTGTCTGATTAGATGGGAGGCCCAGCCTGAGATRTAATATTCATATGCAAGTTTAACCACAGAAAAGGATTTAATTAATCTGATAACACCAAATTACTCTCCAAGGCTGCAGAGCTTGGTCTCTGGAGAAGATGCCCTCGATGGCTTCCCCAGAGGAGCCCCAGTGCCATTTCTGATCATCTGCTTCTCTCTGGGGAGATGCCCTCAAGTTCAGAATTATTTGAAGACCTCATCAATGATCACACAGACAGGTGTAGCAGAGGTTTTGTCTCTTGTTTTTCTTTCCCCTTCCTGGTATCACCTAGGCACCGTGTCCTTCCTTTATCACCCCATATGCATTTTTTCCTGCACGCACAACCTCCCTCAGCTTCAGATCCACAGTAACACTCCTCTCTAGTACTTCCCTCTAACATGCACGTCTCCCCAGCTAACACTTTGCAGAGAGAGGTRTCATGAAGGGGGCTCAGGGCTGGGGTGTTCTTTCTTCCAACTTAGACCACAGTTGGCTTCCTTTGGTTACTCAGTCAGCTGCTATAATTGTTTTCTACATTTTTGGTCCTTTTCTTTCATTAATTCAGACAATGCTCCTCTCTTCTGGTGCATTTTACTTACGTTTCTTCAGTTTACAATGTGTTTTCTGATAGACGATTTCATTTAATCCCAACAACTTGCCAAACAATATAATAGGATCTACTCTACTTTTAAGGTAAACAAGATTTAGGGAGATATAACTATTTGGGTTAAAGTAACAGGCTAGAACAGTAGTTGTCCCCACACCCTTATCCATGGRGGATATGTTCTGAGACCCCCAATGGGTGCCTGAAATAGCAGATGGTACCAATCTCTCTGTGTACTGTTTTCTCCTATAAATRCATACTTATTTATGTATATTAGGCAGAGTAAGAGATTAACAACGGATTATAGAACAACTATAAAAATATACTGTCATAAAAGTATTTAAAAGTTATGAAGTTTTAAAAAATTTCCATGCAACAATTTTGAACTACGGTTGACCACAGTTAGCTGAGACCATGCAAAGTGAAACTGCAGATAAGGCAGTTTCTACTGAAACTTGTAGATGAAGCACTGGAAGACCCACAGTCTTCCAACTAGTCTCCCTACAACCTCAGATGTTCCTTATCACTGCATTCCACAGCAGCCCGCTGGATAATGGAATGCGTTTCCTTTCAGTCTCTGGATTCAAACAGAAATTGTGCTTGGTATGTAAAGAGTCAGCCAGACTAGAAGCAACCTTGGGTGCTATTTTGTACGAACACGGGAGGCAGAAAATTACCCTGAAGTAGTTTTTCTTGAAACAGGAAAAGACATGACAGGATGTAGGGTTATAATGCTTCCCAGAGACCACTCTGAGAAAAGGCTCTGGGGGCAACCCACAAACTCCAGGTGTCTGGTAAGAAGCAGCAAGTGAGAATCTCTGGGCAAAAAAGAAAAGAAAGAGCCAATTCAATATATTTGGGCTTTCAGGATACCACAGATGGATTTTCTCAGCAGGCCAATGGTGTGGAACAGGGCTACCTTTTAAAGATTGCAGGCCAGTCAGCCAGGGCAGGTAATCACCCATGTAGACCAGCTTTCCTGGAGGTAGAGTTACGCTGTGAGCCTCCTACATCACTGCAAGTAAAAAGTACAATGAAACAGACCCCCAAACATCCCCTGGTGAGAACTGCATTAGCTGTTGAATAAAATGAAGAGCTGCTTTGTGGGATAAAGGCTCTTTCATGCATCCCCAATCCTGCAGAACCTGTAGGCCCTAATACTGATSCCTTCTTAAGGTCAAAGAGGACAGGTTCTTAAAAGGTGAAGGTAGGATCACACAAAGCCTGACAGTAGACATGAGCTTTGAAATTTYATGTATAGTCCTGTTGTTATTCATCTGGTATGTATCTGCACAGCTTTTTGGATCTTACAAAAGCAAAATACTTTTTGAACAGTTGACATCCAKCAGCCCATCAATATGAGTTGGACTTCGTAGTAGTGATCCAGTAACCACAGACTTGGTGCCTGGAGCAGTGGGGGATCTCTAGCTCCAGTACTATGAGCTAGAGATCCCCTATCAATAGGTGTTGGACTTCGTAGTGATCCAGTAACCAAAGACTTGGTGTCTGGAGCAGTGGGGGATCTCTAGCTCTAGTACTATGGCCTATAGCCACTAAATTGGTCAGTGCTCATGTGGTACCAGTCATTAAATGTTATGAATATCACCGCTGTGTACCTGTGCTAAAATCTTAGAAGGGAGGCCAAGTGCGTCTGCCCACCAGTCTTAGAACTTTTTCCATTGAGGGTGCCACAAGGGCTCACTCTGCCTGCTTTTCTGCTGGAGGCATTCCTATTGGGCAAAGTAAGTCCACAAAGCTGGTGCTCCAGGGCGTTCTGTCCCTAGTGCCGGTGTCAGAAAGTTCACCCCTGCCAGGTAAACTGGGACTAGACCCAGGCACCCAAACACTCTTCATGTCATCCCTGTTTGGGCTTGTTTTCTTTCTCCCTTACCCTSCCTAAACTCATAGGGGAGATTGCTGGAATTTAGAGGAAGCCAGGGAAGAATTCTCTGGTGCAAAGAAGCAGTCTTAGTGAGACAAATGGCCTTTCATATTCCCCGGGGCACTGTTTCAAAGCAACCAACACAGATGTACGACTTTGGAACAAACATGAATCACCAACCAGACACCAGCCCCAGTCACAGCAAAATTAGCGGGCAGACATCACAATACTTCCCACAGATCCAGGGAGTGAGGGGGTGTGTTCATGGGGGAGACTGAGGACAGACCTAACGAGCAAAATGAATATACCACACGAACTGTGATGCAATTAGGAAGAAAACTGAATTTTCATGGGAGAAACAAACACATCAAGGGGGCTGTTATTTATTTAGGGTCATTTTTTTGTCTCTGCTCTAATCAGGACACACATTTTACCCTTAGGTTTCTTTAGATTAAAAAAAAACACCATAAAAGATTAATTTAAGAATGTTATATAAAACATGAACAAAAGAGAAAAGAATAGCTTCAATAGCTTTGTATTTTTCCATCTGAATATTCTTTTCATCCAGGTTTGAATCTTGATTGCTTTTAATAGGGTTTTATATACTGCAGTTTTCAGAATTATCATTTTCTTTGGGCTACTTAATAGTTCATCCGATATACCTGTATTACATTTTTTTTTTCTTTTTACTGTTTTTCTTACCTCTTTGGTCATCATATTTATGATTCTAAGTATTGTTGCAGTTGATAACTTTGAGCTCTAGCTACTCTAATGTTTCACTAACGTCATACAGAAGTTTCAGGTAGTTTAAGAAAGGGCGTCATTCGCAGGTTCTTAAAAGGTGAAGGTAGGATCACACAAAGCCTACTCAAATATCGCAGGTTTCTGGATATTTGAGTAGGACATATACCTGCCCAGAAGAAATTGCCTATATCCAACACATGAACTGCAGCAGCAGTAAAAGTGGCCTTTCTGGCTGGGCGTGGTGGCGCACGCCTGTAATCCCAGCTGCTCTGGAGGCTAAGGCAGGAAGATCCGAGTTCAAAGCGAGTCTTAGCAAAAGCCAGGTGCTAAGCAACTCAGTGAGACTCTGTCTCTAAATAAAATACATATTGGGGCTGGGTATGTGGCTCAGTGGTTGAGTGCCCCTGAGTTCAATTCCCAGTACAAAAAAAAAAAGGCTTTTCTTTTAGGATCAGAGACCCCTCCCTCCCAATCCTGTTTTCTGATCTACAGGATTCTGTGTGCAGCCTCCCCACTTGCATCTGCCTGCTTCTCCCTGCCGCTGCTGACCTCCTTGCACTGAATCAATGGCTTGTTGTCTAAGACCTTACATTTTAACAACTTCTTTCGGCTTTGTATCTAGAGTTCTCAGTTCGTGGGGCATGGTGGCAGATGACACCATATCTAAAAAGTGATGCTCCTTGTAACTGGAGTGCCCTTCCCATYATTGACTCCAATAAGACATCACCATCTAAATTCAGATCAGGTCACATCTACAGCCAGTTCTCTTTGACACAGATCAATTTAGATACATTCTTCTCACCTAAGCTCCCCAACATTCCTTTATCACAGTATAATGGACCCTTAGTATCTGCAGAAGATTGGTTCCAGGATTCCCCATAGATACCAAACTCCACAAATGCAGATGCTTATGTGCCTTATATAAAATGGCATAGTATCTGCTTATAATATGCATACATMCAGGGTATATTTTAAACCACCTTTTGATAGCATAATACATAATGCAATGTAAATGCCATGCAAATAGTTGGTGTACAGTATTCTTTAGGGAACAATGATCAAACAAAGTCTATACAAGCTCAGTGTAGATGTACTTTTAAAACAAATATTTTCCATCTCTGGTCAATTTTAACTACAGAACTTAGGGTGCAGAGGACCAACCAAGGTACTTGTGCTTCTTTGTTTAATTCTCTATTTATATAGGTGCCTCCCAATAG